ACGTTATGATGTAACTAATCCTCTTAGCACAATTGTGTACCCAAAAAGGCATCAAGAATCTTTAAGATTCATGTAGGTACCTTATTCCACAACGATGGGTACAACAGGCACAATGGTGTGAGACTGTAAGTCTATGAGAGCTGCTCATTGTCATTTGCATATCTTAAACATTACTTGAATCTTTTAGCGGATTCCTTGGCTCAAAAGGGGAGAAAGAAAGAAAGCATAAATCTTAAAACACTGAAAAATTGGAACATATAGGTAATTCACTGGAGGACAAACGAGTAAGGACCAACAAGCAAAAAAGATTTGCATGGACATATAGGTAATTCACTGGAGTCCAGACGGTGAAATGACTGATGCCTCCTAGGCCAAGAAAGCAACAGCCATGCATAGGATGGCAACCTGGCTTCTGCATGATGGTGTGAATTACCATGGTGTGAGCATGACTGGAGTGGCCTGATCTGACTTCATGAAGCAGCATTTCTCATGTCCATCTGTTAGCTCATAGAATTGTTTGGTCCTTCCTCTGATATTTGATATATAACATAGCTTTTCATTTGATGAAATTATTCAACAGTTTCCTTATAGTTCAATGCATCACCTAACACTACCTTACTTGTATGTTCAACTGTGAGATAAAAGTTCAGAAATGGAAATGTTGTAACAATGGCTTTTGTTACCTTTATTCAGAGCCATGCATCCATTGACCCACTCCACTCGATTTCGTGACGAACTGATCAGAAATACAAGCTAAAATTAACTACCTAACAAGACTGGACAGTTCTTTCTAGAAACAGAACACTGAACTGTTCGTCATTGCACAAGAGTGTGTAGTATGTATGATACCATGCAACAATTCTAAGACCTGCATAGCACCTACCAGAAAATCAGCCACGCCCTTGTTAAATCCGACATTTTGAAGCAGCAAGATTACTTCTCCTAGGACACTCCATGATCCCCGCGAGGTGTGTATCCCTTGCTGCTTCTTCCTCACCCCGTACTCAATTCTCTGATTGCATCTGAATACTACTACATTTTGAATTCAGAGAAGAGGGATGATAACATCCTGGTGCCTCCTAAGCCTACCATAGCAACCCACTGGCTTGGTCCTCGTAGCCTTTTGTTTCTCTCCACCATTTTGTAGCGCTTGGGCTCACTCATCTCATCTTTTATGGAGCGAAAACCGCAGCATGTACAATACCATATATGAATGCATAGTATAATTCAATGCAGTATATGAATGCATAGTATGATTCCATGCAGTTATTCAACCACCACGGCTGAGTTTAGTGTGCACCTACAATGGCATTCTAAAGTTTTTGCAGCTGAGTTCAATGTGCTACTACATTGCAATTACATGTTCAAGTTCTGCAATGTGCAGATGAGTTTAATATATCATATATGTGCATGTACAACAGAAATTTTATTCAATTGTTCAGCCCATGCATGCCTTTGAACAAAATTTAGTAGCCATCACATATATTAAACTGAACAACTGAACAATAGATATGGTTCAAACTTCAAAGGCATAGGTATTCAACTGAGAACAATTTAGGTGGTCATATATATCTGAAGAAAATATCACAAGAAATTTTTTCCTTTAAAATGTTAACCCACCAACCACTCAATTTTCAGCATCTTCTGAACGTTACTTAAATCCTGTAGCACATTCCTTGGCTAAAAACTCAAAATGGATCAAGAAAGTAAGCACAAATCCTAAACACGAAAAACTCAAACTTTAATCCGAACATAAGGTCAAATTATTAAGGACAAACAAAATAAAAGATTTGCATGGACATGCAGCCACGTCAACTGAAGTTTCGAAATTGGCATTCATGTCAGCCTGAACTCCTGGAGCTTCTTTGCTCCTATCATGGTCCAGGTTCTTGCTTCCTCTTTTATTTTCGCGACCAGGCCAAGGGCTGTTGTCTCCTTATGTTCGAAAATACGCTGGTTTTGCTCCTTCCAGATTTCCCAGACCACCAGAAGGATTAAGCTACGCAGGTCTTTCTTGGGCATGTCTTTCTTGTTGGCAAGCATTTCACACAAGGCTCGAACATCTAGATAAGGCTCTCATAGATTTGGATCTAATTGCTGGTAGGCCACCCAGGAGGCTAGGAGCCTCCAGACTCTTCTGGTGTAACTACACTCGGCGAGGAGATGGAGCGTCAATTCACTCATCGTTTGACAGAGGGGCAACGGATGTTGTTTGGTCATCCTCTTGTTGCAAGCCTATCCGAGGTTCAGACTCTATTTAGGCCACATTTGCAATCATCTCAAAGATCTCTTGTGTTCGCATTCGTGACAGCAAGGAGATTGGCACGATCCCAAATTCCTAGTCCCCTTCTCACATGCGAGACTGTAAGGGTGAGCTTCTCATCAGGTTGAGACGGTTTCAGAATTCAAGATAACACCATCCATGGCTGATCAGCCTGCACCGCCCCGCCGTGCCGCCGGTTTCGGTTTCCACGATGGCCACAAGGGACAGGGAGGAGGCCAGAGTTCACCCATCCAATCTAGCACTTACACCGTATCATCCAACAAATGTAGTCATACCACTGACTAACACATCCTGATTTTGTTGCAGAGAAGCTCCCGATGCCTTCCAGGCCTACCACGCACACCATTGTTCTAGTCCTCATATAATTCTTGATGTCTTAGCTCTCAGTTAGCTTGTAACACTTGGGGTAGCTCATCTCATCTTATATGGAGCAAAAAGAGCAGGGAGATGAAGTAGTACCATATATGAATATATGAATGCACAATCTGATTTTATGCAGTTATTTAGTTCTGCAGCTGAGTTCAATGCTTACCTACAGCTGCACGATCAACACTTCAGCTCATCAGTTGAACCCCAATGCCTTCCAACCAAATACCACTATTGGTTCATCAGTCAAGTTTTTTTTTTTTTTGGGGGGGGGGGGGAGAGAAAGCGATACAAAAACTGTGCCTTTTCATTACATATGGCAGGAGAAAAATACAACTCCTAAGCACAAGAAAAGAGAGAAAACTACCCATCGGACACCCGATTTATACATTATGCAGTGTTGGGCAAAAGGTCATATAAGCGCTTTGCTCCTGCCAATACCCATGTCCATGTATCTTCCTTGATTTTGGCAAAAAGCAATGACGACATGGCCTTGTTATGCTCGAAGGTTCGTTGGTTTCTCTTCTTCCAGATCTCCCAAACAATAAGGAGGATGAGAGTGCACAACCCCTTTTTGGAACTCCAGCTGCGTTTGCTAGAGCTTCTCACCAGGCTTCGGTTATAAGTCAGTTCATCATTTTAAACAAGAAAGTAGATTTCCATGCCATTCAGCATGTTCTAAACCATCACATAGAGCCATAGAAAACTGAGATAAACTGAGATAGGTAGTCAAACCTGAAAGGAAATATCAGAAAAAAAAAAGAATTTCCCTTCAAAATTGTTAACCCCTAAGTACTGAACTTTTAGCAGGAATCCTGTACCCGATTCCTTGGCTCAAAAGGGAGAGCAAGCGAAAGGAAGCACAAACCTTAAACACCCCAAAATTAAAACTTTAGTTTGAACAAGAGGTCGAAAGAGTAATGACAATTGACTATAGTAACAAACAAGAAGATTTGCATCGACATATACAGCTAGTACTATACTACTATGGAGTATGAGCTTGATATACATACATACATATATGTGAACCTGAACATCCCTCAAGGGTGTTTGTCGGGCAAAAGTCCAGTCTTAGCTCTTTTGAGTCCCTGACGGACGGCGGCGGCAGTTTTCCGTCGCTTCTCTTCTTGGAGACGTCGTTTAGGCATCCCCTTGTCGAAACCACTTGAACGATTGGTGCAAGCACACTCTAGCTAGAGTTGGGCTTTGTGTTGGTTGTAAGGGCGTTTTTGGGCGTTCTTGTCCGTGTTCCTTTGTTGGCCTAGCGGCGGTCGGTCATGCTTAGCGGCGGTCGGTCATGCTTAGCGGCGGTCGGTCATGCTTAGCGGCGGTCGGTCCAGTGCTAGCCTTCTCCCAGACATGTGTGTTGGCACTGTCAGTGTGTAGGTGGTGGTATATTTTTTTTCTTTTTTCTGGTTACGACCTTACAGGGTTGTAATCTTGCTCTATCGAACTTTGCACCGTCTCGTGCGAGTCAGTTCAAAAGAAAATTCTAGAGTTGTGAACAAAAGAAGGGGAAATTCCGAATTCGTTCTAACCTGAAAGAGAGGATTCAAGAAGACGACGAAAATGCAATCAGCTGAACGATTTGCATCCGTAGCTGCAATGCAAACAATGCCACCGCCGGAGAGTGTCCGCTCGCCGCCGGCGGACGGCGTGGGCGGGCTCGGCGATGGCCCGACGGTCAAAGACCCGAGATCGATTCCAGAACCCAGCTCAGTTTTGCATCGTCCGATCACACGTGAGCGTCCCAGATCTTACGTCGTTTACTTTTTTTAAACATATTTAACTGTTCGTCTTATTTAAAATTTTTTAAATATTATTTATAGAAAAAAACATTTTAATAAAAACGAATTGTTAATTTTAAAAAAGTCAACGGTGTTAAATATTTAGAGACATGGAGATTTTAAAAAAGTCAACGGTATTAAATATTTAGGGATGTGGAGAGTATATCCTTGTCCAGCCATAGCAAACCGACCACCGGCAACGGGAGGAGGAAGAACTGAAGAAGATAAGTTCGCCGCCGCCTCGTCGGCACGCAACAAGACACGCCGGTAGATCTTCCTGCGGCGCCGCCGCCGGTTTCGGTTTCCACGACGACCAAGAAAGAAGGAGGCGGCGGAGGACGCCAAGACGATCCATCCGACCTGTCCAACAACTGGCACACGCCTCGTCTTCTTCCGTGACGGCGACGGCGACGGCGATGGCGCGACGCGGCGCGCCACCAGTATACAAGTCAGCTGCTGCTCGATCTTGTCATGAGAGCCCCCAAACCCGCGAGCGCGCCAACTGTTTGCCCCGTCAGGCCGGCCGCGTGGGCCCCGCACCAATCCGATTCAATCGATCCAATCCATTTCCAGCTTCGTCTTCATCTTGGCTTGGCGCGCTATATAAAGGGAGACCCATGGCGCGAGCTAGCCAGGATCGATCCATCACTTGCAGCATTTGCGATTTCTCTCTCAGCTTAATTCGCATCAAGTCAACCATGTCTTCGGCGACGGCGACGGCGTCCGGTGGGCTGCATGCCGCCGGCGGCGAGTGGCTCGGCGAGCTCTCCGCCGCGCTGCAGGGGAAGTGGCAGGCCATGGTGAGCACAGACCAGCGGCGGCGGCGGCAGAGGGGAGATGAGGCAGACGAGAAGAAGGGGGTCGCCGGCGCCGGCGCCGCCCTCGGCGTGGAGACGAGGAGGAGGAAAGAGGAGGGAGACGTCGGCGCGTGCGGCGGCGCCATGTCCGACACCACCGTCTTCCTCCTCCTCGACCACTTCGCGCCCAGCTGATCGTCCGTGACGTCACCCATGGCGCGCCCCCGAGCTAATCGTGACGTCATAGACGCGTTTGTAAAGAGAAGAGTAGTAGACGATGACGCGTATCCCCGGGAGGAAATGGCAAGCCACGCTGTATATATTTGACTTGTCGCTGCTGCTACTACTTGCTTCAGTTCACTCTCATGTGTAAATAAAAAATAAGAATGCAGTATTTTTCCTACCCATCTCTTTCCTCGTTTCCAGCTTTCAAATTGATGTGAAGGAAAATTTGCAGTTTTTCGTTCAGTCCTGATTTGAGATTCAGGAAAATTACAGAATTGGATCAGTTTGATTTTGGGGGAAATGTTCTAGGGATTTGGCACGAGGCACAAACTGAAGTACAAGAATCAGCACCATGTTAATTTAAAGATTATAATTCCATACATACAAGAATCAGAATCAGGCAGACCTCTTGCATCTCACCCTACTTGTAAACAACTAAACAACCATACAAGCCGATGATCTTGCTAGGCAACAAAAGGGGAAAAAATGAGAAAACTCTAAAAGGAAAAAAGGTTGCTGGGAGAGCAAATGCATTCACAGCTATTTACACCTCAAAAGCAAATGTTGTTGAGGGAGGAGGGGTCAGTGAGAGTAGGAGCTCGGCTCCTCGCTGTATGTCGTCTCGCTGGACCCAAACACGGGCTTCTCGTCTTCCCACTTGATGATCTCCCTTCCATAGCGGATCGCGGAGCGGACCGACTCCTGGTCCAGGGCGTTCACGTAGGACACGTAGAGTTTCCGCTCCGTGAACGACTGGAATACGCTCTTGAACTTCACCGCAATGTAGTGACCCGCCATCTGCGCCAATGTCGAGCCAGTGGAGCTGCCCCGCGAGCTTTTGCTGGTGCCGTTGATCAGATTGCGGCTTACCAGGGGAGTGAAGTCGCTGAACCAGTCGCATGATGTTAAAGGAGATTTGCCGATCTTCTGCTCTAGGATATCAAACTTGGTGAGAAGTAGAAGGAAATCCATCTGCTCAAATATCGGATGAAGGGCAATGCTCTCAAATAGCTGCCTGGTCTCCATCATCTTGTTCACAACATTGCCGTTTGCATCCTCGTAGTACTCATCATAGTCGCTGACCGCAACACAGAAGATAACAAGCCTCACATCATCGAACATTTGCAGCCATTTACAGTTCTCATGCAATCCTTTGTTGTTTATTCTTATTAGTTGGTACCTGAAAATAGAACAAAATGTTTCATTGTTCATACTGTTATCATTAACAAAGATGAAAGTTACAGAAAGACTAGAAACACAGGTTATTTAGACTACCATGCCCTTTTCAGTGACTTAAGAACAGACCTTAGCAAAGTGTCTTGTGGATCTGGCTCATCAAAACCCCGCCCGTCCAAAGCCAGTTGTGGGAAGGAGAAATCTGTAGATGCTAACCCATCTGAGGATGTTATCCCATCAGCGTAAAGGATATCCATATCAGAGAGCTCATATTCCGTTCGGGAAATATCAACAGCCTGATCATCCCAAATAACAATGTTAAAGAATGAGCAATTGTAATTATATGACTCAGCACTACTTAGACACTGCCATCTGACATGAAACAGATGTAGAAACAGTGCATCAACCGAGGTCAAGTGTTCAAACAACAATGGAACAACAATAGTACCTTGTCAAGGAAATAACTAGCAGCAGATGGAAGGAATGGCAGTTCACTTCTCCGGTTATATGTAGCTTGAATAGCAGGATCTTTCCATAGTTCCTCAACCATTGGTGCATATTCACGACTAGCTGCAGGGAAAATGTCTTCAAGATTACCTATGGCCATAGCTTTTAGAATCCAATCAGAGAATGCTTTCAGGCGTGGAGCAATATAGTACTCAGTAATGTCATTACAAAGCTCTGGTTCACAATGGCCTGCAAAAGAAACACAAAAATAAATTCTAGATGGTCTGTGGAAGAGGCTAGCAGTCTATATGTTTCACTAAAATCAAACAATTGCAAGTCTCCTGCTGATATAAATATGTGAATTTATGCAGCAAAGAATTAAGGTGGATAGCCAAAAGAACATAATAATACGACTGTCATACCAGAGCTAGAAGGATCACTTTGGCAGGTAGTTCTTCTGTCAGCTATAGCTTCCTCTTCAAATCTTTCACGCCCTTCAAGTAGTATACCAAGGTAGTTGTATATGTTACTTTGTATGATAAGTCTGAGATCTTCACACTCCTCTACAGAAAATGGTCTGCTCTTGTACAAGAACTTGGCCTAAGGTTTGATGGATTCAAGATCAGTTGCTATATTGATATTGCAAACAACAGGCAGCGAACCATAAAACTAAGTCCTTCTGTTCGTGTGAAGTGAATCTTGCCTTTAATACTCCAAGGTAAATAAAGGTAATTGGATGGTGATGCTAATTCAGTGATCAACTTATCTACATAAACACATCAATATATTTGTACCTGCTTGAGTATGGTGTTTGTCCCTGATCCAACCAACAGGAGCTTCTGAATGGTCCTTTGCTCCAAGTAGTCAGGGATGGGTCGATTTACCACATTCACTGGCTCTTCACCGCATTGATTATTTGCTTTGTTAGGCGTTGGCAGTGATAGGACAGGACTAAGCAGCTTCACAATAGGCTGCCAAGGAATGCAGAACATATGTAACTTTGGTTAGTTTCCTCTGACGAATTACAGGGCAACTACAAGATGAATCCCAGAATTACCTTATCCCAAATCTTGCCTTTAACTGTTTTTTGTCCTTCCTCTTGGTAAGTCCCATCAGCATTCACCCAAAAGTGAGGTTTTCCAGCACATTGAACTCCTGCCAACTGAAATGTAAAAGGTTAGAGATAAAACACATGAATTACAAAATTAGGTACCAGTATATTGCTTCAAACCTTAAGCATTTGCAGCTCAGATTTCGTAATCTCGCGGCCGTTTATCAAGATCCCAGTGTTCCCGTTGCTGGCCTTTTGATCTAGAGCGCCTCCAACATTTAGATTTGGGCTTATTATGCAATGGGGCTTGTGACCCTCCTGAAATATTTTCCAAGAAAAGTGTGTAATTAATAATGAGTAATTAATTATTAACCAGAGCTGTAGACTACTACAGTAAATATTTGTAGGAACAATCAAGCCAGCTGCATCATGCAGAATTTTCTTGCCATTAATTTTCCTTATAAAGCCCAAGCCTACCTAAACGAAAGCAGCCAGACACCGAAACAATCTATGATGTGTTATGATTTAATTACTTTGTACATGCACAGACTATGGTCATCCATCTAAGCCATGCCATCATGTTGGTACTTCAAGAAAGATTCTGCGTAGTTAGTTTCCATATAATATCATACACGTCAGGTGCCAGCCTAGATGTGCAATATTCTGCTGATCTAAAACAACATGCTCAGAAGTACTAACTTCTCATTTGTTTCATACTATACTATCCACCCAGATTCCTAAGACTTCGATAAATCATTCAAAGCTCTAATTGTGCCAATTAATCAGAGATGTCATAATCAGTTTTACAAATATATAGTAGTACACCAAAAAATTCCACAATATCAAGCTCAGCAGCACTATCCCTCCAGACCATGTGTTGGTTCCAAATAAATATATACATCCTAATCATTTCAATCTAGGCAAAAGCATATATGTCAAAATAAAGTAAATTATCATCTAGTCGTAGTTCAGAAAATGGAAAACCCTAGACCGCATACAAGGAATCTTTCACTTCAAATATGATAATTTAGTGCTCATTTTCAAACCATAAAAAACACAGCTCTTCAAATTATACACATGGGAATAACATCATTAACTGTGCAATTCAATAATAGCCACACAACAGCTAACTCTCCTAAAGATCTCTTAAGAATTTATCGATCTGTTGCTTACCAACTATATTTACCACATACTAAATTCAATTACCTAAAAATAATTTTAACATCAAACTACTGCATTACGCGCTTCAATCAAATGTGTCGGCAAGCAAGCACCAAAAAGATCAAATCTTTACAGGCAGTTACCTTTCCCCAGAAGCCGGAAACCTTGTCGTACCAATAGAACCCCGGCCGGAGCTTAGAAGGAGGGCACTGGCACCCCTGCAGCATGACGAGCTCCTCCGGCGACAGCTTGGTGCCATTCACATACACGTCCTCCGGTCGCAGCTGGTTGGCGGCGCATTCCCGCTCGCTCCTCATGACAAGCTCCACCTCCGTGGCGCTGAGCAGCCGCCGCAGCACACGTGAGCCTCTCCCCAGCGAATCCCGCTTTGACTCGGCCACCGGCCGCCCTATGCAGTCCAGGCACTTGCGCCCCTCCGGCATGGACCCCATCGCCCGGAGCAAGCAACCACCGCAGTACCGCGCGCCGCAGGCGAGGCAAGCCTCCTTGTCCCCGCGGGCCCAGAAGCTGCCCCCTTTCCCGCATCTGAAGCAACCACGGGATTTGGAGGCTCCCCTCCAGTGCGCGGGGGAGAGGGAGCCGCTCGATCGCACGGGCATGGCGTCCTCGCCGTATTCCTCGTCTTCCTCCTCATCCTCCTCGTCGTCGTCGTCGTCTTCCGAGGATTGGAGGAGGGAGCCGCTGGTCTCCGCGAAGGTGACCATGGGCTGGTGGTGGGACTTCAACAGCGGCGGCGGCGGCGCACCCGCCCTGCGTCCATCGTAGTCGTCCTCATCCGCGTTCTCGTCGTCGTCGGAGGGCGTCGACGGGAGCTCGGCGGAGTGGTGGAGAGCCGCGTGGTGGTTCTCGATGACGGAGGTGGGTGAATCCACCGCCGCTGCCCCAGCAACCCCACCACCACCACCCGCGGAGGCGGAGGCGGCAGCGGAGGACGACGATGACGACGACTGCGCCGCGGCGGCACCAGCAGCAGCGGAGGAAACCCCGGCGCGGTGGCCGTGGATGGCGGAGCAGAGGGAGGAGGGCGTGAGGGGGCGCACGACGGGGAGCGGCGGCGCCGTGGGTGGCGGTGGCGAGGTGGGGGACGAGAGCGAGGCGAGCGGGATCCGCGACAGGTCGAGCGGGATGGCGCGCGGCAGCGAGTAGGGCAGCGGCGGGCCGTCGTACTCCGCCGCGAACGAGTACTCCCCCGCCGCCGCCATGGTCGCCGCACTAGGCTAGGTTAGGGTTAGGGTTAGGGTTCGGGGGGGGTGAGGCATGGTGGGGGTGGGAAACCCTAGGCGAGGAGGGGGGAGGGGAAAGGTGGAGGAGGGAGAGAGCTTCACCTTTTTTGGAGCATGCGCGAGGGAGGGGGAGGAGGGGGGGTGGAGACGAAAGGGGAGGAGGGCAGCGTGGTGGCGTCGTGGGGGAGGTGACCCGCTTTGCTTTTGCGCTCGCTGCACCGTGTCCATGGGTTGGACTGGGTGATCTTTCTTCGTGTTTCTTCTCGGTGTAGTGTACTAGTACTGTTATACTGGAGTAGTGTACATCTCTGACTGTATACAGGTCAAAATACTCTCCCGGTTCAAAGTTCAAATATGGAGGAATCATGAATGTGGTTGTTACGCTTGTGCTACTACTAGGTCTTTTGTGTCTGGTTTATCTGCTGCTTTGTCAATTTATTTTACTTTTAAGATAACTATAGGCTTAGATACATTGTTACATGATCGCGTTAAGGGCCCTTTGATTCAAACGAAATTCATAGGAATTTTAGAGGATTTTATTCCTATAGAAATTTTTCCTATATAGCCATTTGAATTAAAGGAATATATCCTATAGAATCCTATGAAATTCCTATGGAATGCCTCTTCCCATGCAAGTTTCGGAGGAAATTTAACATGAGGTAGAACCTCATGGAAAGAATCTTTTGAGTCTTTATCTCTCCTCAAATTCCTATGTTTTTCCTATGACCCAATCAAATAGTCATTTATATGTTTTTCCTGTGTTTTTGCAATCCTCAGTTTTACACTTGCATTCCTATCAAAATCCTATATTTTTTCTATTCCTCCATTTTTTTCATTCATGTGATTCAAAGGGGCCCTAAAAAGTTGTATTTGTTTAGTTGTAAAACATGTCTTAGTACATTGATAAATTACTGATAAAAAGATCGGCGTACAAGTTGCCAGCTAGAGACTCCGTGAATGGAATGTTACAGTTATGAATTCTAAATAATTCAAAGTGAGTATCTCTCACCAAGCTAACATATCTTAAATTTTGAGAGTGAGTAATTATACCAATTTATTATTGGCAACACATTGACGTTTGCATAGATATATGTGATTGATTAGTAATGGTCTGGTGGAACTAATCCGCCCAAGGAAATACTCAAATTAGGTTGCTTAGTGCATTTCTTATGTCATACCACATTGTTAAATTGTATACTTAAAGTCTTAAATACCTCGCTACATAGTACATACATGTGCTCCACGTATTTTAATACATTAAAATATAAAAAGTATGCCTTGCGATGTAAGATTACGTATTGTATGGAAAAGAAATTTCTAGTTACTCTGCTATTTTATCGGTTTCATGCACTCGTCTACCCCACCCAAATCTTGTCACGCTAGTTGACTAGACCACAACTAATTTTTCCAATAAAACCACTTGCATAACCACCATATACTCTTTACTCTTACATACGAAAACATAAATATATTGACATGTACGTTTAACGTGACTATTTTTAGTTGTGAGAGTAACAGCCACTTATAAAAATATATAGAAGTAGTACGGTAGTGACACTTTTCGCTCTTTATTCTTTTGCTCACTTTTATGCTGTTCTTTTTTAATTTTTCTAGTATAAAAATTGAAAGCACTGTGCTGTACTCCCGGGTTTTTCCATGGACCGCGTCCACGCCCAGCACGAGCTCTCCACGAGTAGGAGAGAGAGGATCACTTGACACACAGAGGAATTGACCGGTGGGCCCCACCGCCCGGCGAATCTTCCAGGTGGGCCCCGCACAAGACTGACCTGACTCTCACACACACAACCAACACCGGACCAACCAGCCTACGGAGGAGTACGTCCGTGCCGCTGGCAGGTGGGGCCCGTCCAACCCCCGCTGCCGGTGGGGCCCAGCTGCAGTGATGGGTTTTTTGGCGTAGGATTTTTTTTTTTTTTTTTTTTTTGCAAGTGGAGAGTGTGACCGTTGGTCCGACCAGGAGAGACGGACAGATCGGGGATACGCGGAATCGGCAGCGCGTAGGTGAAGCCCTCAGGATGACAGGTGGGCCCCACACGACTCCCTGATCCGGTGGGCGCTGGTGGGCCCCGCAGGGTAGTCACGGGGCTACACTAACACAGGAGTTGGGTGGGCCTGGATGGGTTCCTTTTTTGGTGGGAGAGAGATTCTGTCCTCTCTTCTGGGCTGGCCTGGCCTTGTGGGCCCTGGATTCTGTACTCGTGTGGCCTGTGTGATTGGTAGAAGGAATAAGTTCACCGGAGTTCCCTCAACTTACCAGCAAGTTTTTCTGAGGTCCCTCAACCACAATACTAATACTAGAAATGTTCACCCCTAAACTCACTAAAACCGTTCACGGGAGGTTCTTCGGCAGTATTTTTGTCCGATTTTGCTGACGTGGCATCCTAGTCAGCAAAAAAAAGTACGTGGGACCCACATGTCAGCTGCGCGCGCGCGCGCGCACACACACACACACACACACACACACACACACACACACACACACACACACACACACACACACACACACACACACACACACACACACACACACACACACACACACACACACACACACACACATATATATATATATATATATATATATATATATATACCCAGTCTGAATTGGCCATACGTATATGTTGCTACCAAATTCTGGACCTCCTCTGCTCTTTGATTTTTGAAAATTTCCAAAGTTGTTTGGTAGCTACTACAAGTCATCAGCCAGAAACAACTGGTTCGTAATACAGAAGTTGATTTCAGACATGAAAACGCATGCAGATTTGTTTTACCTGTTTGTTTGAAACTGGAAGGCACTGCCAGTTAACAAAGCCCATTATGCGGCAGATCGAGACACATGATAAAAACAAAGAACTGGTTATAAACCACACATGTATGGCAAATTCAGCATATGATTGTGCTGAAAACGATGTGATGATTTCGTTGACATATGTTTCCAGCTAGCTAGTCACACATCAGGATTGATTTCCTTGCAGATTTACATGGTTGCTGATGCGCCAAGAAGTTGCAGACAGGCCTGAACTTTTTTTCCAACCAGAACATTAAGTTCTATCAGCTAGCTATCTATATATATAGGCAGATGATGAGTTCCATCTTAATTACTAAAGTGGACACACTTGCTTCGCTTTGTATCATTAATAAAGCACCAAGCAAACAACAATCTTGCTATTATCTAGTATTAGCATGCAGTATTAATACACTACTAAAAAAAAGTATTTTCGTAGGCGGACAAAAATGATTTTTGCATGCGGAGGGTTGGACCGCTTGTAACACAACGACGGTGAAAATCAACGATTTTCGCAGTCGGGGCAATAGCCCGCCTGCGAAAATCCATGAAACGATCAAAAAAAAAATCGCGGCGGCGGCTCGCCGACGCCGCCACGCGCCTCACCGCTGCCGCCCTCCGCCGGCCGGATCTGGGAGGGGAGGGGAGGGGATTCACCGCCCCACGCCGTATTCGCCGCCGCCGGCCTCCCCCCTCCCTCCTCTGGCCAGATCTGGGAGGGAGGAGGGGAGGGGAGCCGCCGCCGCCGCCCCGCGCATCGTCGTCGCCGCCGCCGCCGCCCCGCGCCTCGTGGTCGCCGCCGCCGGCCTCCCCCCTCCCTCCTCCGGCCAGATCTAGGAGGGAGGGGGGAGGGGAGCCGCCGCCGCCGCCCCGCGCGTCGTCGTCGCCGCCGCCCCGACCAGTCGTCGTCGCCGCCGCCGCCACCCTCGCCAGCCTCCCCCCTCCCTCCTCCGGCCAGCCGTACGCCGCACCGCTAGCCGGACGCCGCGCCGTGATGAACCCTGAGTTCCTCTCGACACTCAATACTGTTGTTGGCCCGATCTTTCGGTGAGTTGAGATAACTACGATTTGGGAGACACGTTGACGACCCGACTACAACCGTACGAGACGTTGTGTTGCGCCTTAGCGATCTATACACCTCTCCGTGGGTTGTTGATCTTGCCGGTGCAGATCAACCCTATTCCTGCAAGCAAATCGAAGAAACAAACAAGAACAAGATAAAAGCAATCTGATATTGCACATAGAAATTTAATACAAATGATAAGTTGGGGTTCCGAAGAACAAGCAGACGGACGGTCTAGCCGACACGCGCGCTGCAAGCAAGTAGCAATGGCTAAACTTTAATCTATCAAAACCCAAGAAACTCTAAAGGGGTACCTAACTATTTAAGGAGGTGGGAGGACGACCTAAGGGAACCCTAGGGTCGTGCTCCACCTGGTTGGGGCGTACCCCACTTGGGCCCCACTTGGGCCGGGGTCCCATACGAAGTTACAAGCCCATAGGCCCATTATAGGTGACGCAGCACCTTCTTTTTGTGATTTCGGCCGACTGGGATGGAATTTGGTGATGAAGCTGGATCCATTGGAAAGATGACTCCGATAGCTTTCCATCAAGTACTCATGGACCCAAAAATGGAGATCGCATGCATATTTGGCGGCCGTTTGAAGTCGATACTGTTGCAGGTGGCCGAACTGGATTGCAGAACTTGGACGGCTTGATCTTGATGTGAACGACGGTTGTATCTATAGTAGCCATGGTCATATCACGCCGCCCCGCCGCCTTCCACGCCACCCCGCGCCGTGGCCGCCGTCGCTCCCCCTCCGGCGGCCAGGGAAAGGAGGGGTGAGGGGAGGGGAGAGGAGGCGGCGTGAGGGGAGAGGAGGAGGCGTGAGGTGTGGGGAGAGAGGCCGGCCATGGGTGGAGCCTGGAGACTTTGAAAAAATCAACCCTTCCCTAAGTCTATTTATATTGAAGTCTATTTTCGCAAGCGGACCACTTAAGCGTCGCCTACGAAAAGTGGTCCGCCTGCGAAAATAGATTTTCGTAGGCGGACCGACCATTTCACCCCGATTTATATTTTTGTAGGCGGTCATTTGGCTTTAAAAGTTATGTCCGCCTGCGAAAATGAGACCCCTACGTTGAGAAAAATGCCTTTTCTAGTAGTGAAATCACTAACCATCAGTATTGTGAGTGCAGAGAATTTTCAGGGTTCAGATCAGGAAGTGGATAGGCTAGAGCTTAATTTTCAACCTGGACTAATCAATTACTAATAGGCCAAAAAGGTTGTACTCTTGGCATAATTTTCCTAG